ATACACAGGTGAGCAACCTCTGGCAGAACAGCCAAGCGACCTCCAGCAGAATGCACAGGCGAGCGACCTCCAGCAGAATGCACAGGTGAGCAACCTCTGGCAGAACAGCCGAGCGACCTCCAGCAGAATACACAGGCGAGCGACCTCCAGCAGAATGCACAGGCGAGTGACCTCCAACAGAATACACAGGCGAGCGACCTCCAGCAGAATACACAGGCGAGCGACCTCCAGCAGAATGCACAGGTGAGCGATCTCTAGCAGAACTGCCAAGCAACTGTCAGCATGGAATTTTTAAGTGATGCTTCTTAATATTTGAGTAATTGAGTTTAATGCAGTAATCATGACAGCGCTATGAGTACAGCAGTAATTGGACAATGGACTGCCAAACCTACACTACACACATTAACTTAACACAACTGCAAGGGGTTCCTGGTGTTCAGGTGATTGGGACAACCACCTTCCTGAAGACTCTGTCTACCTTTCAGCGTATGCCATCATTCACGGCACCATGAAGCCTTACCCTAAGGAAATAACATCGAATAATAAAGAAAGGCAAGCTAAACTGGGCAGACAAACCAAGTTTTCAAAAAATCTAGCAGACTTCCGGTTTGTTAAGGAGACTGTGGAGTGTCAGAAGACACACTGGGGCTTTCAGACCACCCCTGACTTCCCTAAAACTGCTCATTGTGCTGAGAATGCTTCTCCAGCAGTTCTAGATGGGGGACACAGCTTCCAAAAGTGGACAAAAGCTATACATGTCCATTAAGTCCCTTTATGAGAAATGTCTCAACTTTACAGCTTCATGTGACTGTTTCATTTTTCCTACTGAAAAACAGCACTTATGTGACCGGACAGAATCTAAAAACAAGTGGTGCTACCATAGCAACCCTCCTGCTCTATGTGCACACATGCCCAAGGAACCACACCCTTCCCTTCAAACATTCTGTCTAACCACTCCCACAATGCAGCTAATACTTCATACTCCTGTTCCCTCAGACTCTGGCTTTTCAGTCACAGTAACTCCCTAACACAAGCTCCACAGCACACTGAACAGCACAGCATTTGAGTCAGCACCAGTCAGCATGACCAAGTCTTTCAGAGCTACGTCACTCTTCCCCAGGCCTTGTGGCAACCTAAGGAGCGGTCAGCACTCAGATGAGCCTGCACATCATTTTGTTATCCAAAGCCAGTCAGCTTACATTTATTAGCTATGAACCTCCATTTAGCCACAACACCGCCTGCTGCCCTCAATGCTACGGCTCACACTCCTCAGGTACCCTCTTCTACCTGAGGACTCTTTGCACCGTGGGAAACTCAATATACAAACACACCTCTGGATCTGTTGTTTCCCATGAGGACAGTTTCTTGCTAAACTGCCTCATGTAGACACTGCTTTCTTTCACTGACAGTATAAAACACTGCATTTTGTTACCATTGTTCTAAGAACAAACCAATAAAAAAGTTAGTTTTCACAAAATGCTCAACTTGAAAACAAACAGCAGCACATTGCACGTTGTGACTTTTCTGGGAGTATCTGGAGAAGAATATTACATCAGACATCCCTTTAGGCTTTTGGATTAAGGAAGGTAGTTCCCAGGTTTGACTGGTAATCTTTGTCTTAGGAAAGCGTTACTAACATTGGGACTAGAGCTATCAACCCTCTTCTGCAATAAAGGCCTGTGGTACTTCGGGGCCAGAGTCTGCTCTCCCCCCCCCGGGCTGCCCGGCCCATGACAGCCGACACCACACAGGGTCCAGCCTGCTCTCCCCCCACCGGGCTGCCCGGCCCATGACAGCCGACACCACACAGGGTCGGGCCTGCTCTTCCCCCACGCCACACGGGACCTCAGACTGTGATCAGCATAAAGATGTGGTCGTTGTGAAGAAATGTGGAGATGTGATTAGTGCACAGACATAAGGAGCAAGGCTAGGTGTAGAGATGTGGACATGGTTCAGAAATAAGGAGCAGGGGTCAGTGTGGAAATGTGGTCAGAGTGCAGAAATAAGGAGCAGGGGTCAGTGTGAAAATGTGGTCAGAGTGCAGAAATAAGGAGCAGGGGTCAGTGTGGAACTGTGGTCAGAGTGCAGAAATAAGGAGCAGGGGTCAGTGTGGAGATGTAGTCAGAGTGCAGAAATAAGGAGCAGGGGTCAGTGTGGAAATATGGTCAGAGTGCAGAAAAAAGGAGCAGGGGTCATTGTGGAAATGTGGTCAGAGTGCAGAAATAAGGAGCAGGGGTCAGTGTGGAGATGTGGCCAGAGTGCAGAAATAAGGAGCAGGGGTCAGTGTGGAGATGTGGACAGCATGGAGAAATGGGGAGCAGATTTGGACAATGTGGTCAATTTTCAGAAACAGCTTCACCTTCTGCTAGTCATATCATCATTCAACCTGTTAATCAGTCAAAGTTGCACTCAGTATTTTGCTTAGAGACAATGATTTGTCAAAAATACTGACTGGCACTGTAAGCTGGATGGGCCGCAATGGGGGGCGGGGGGGGGGGGGGGGGGGGTCCCAGGGACTGCCGTATTTTCTCTACGTTTGTTAATCAATAGCCAGATGAATAGGTTTAGATAAAGATGTCTATGCCAGCGTCACTGATTATTGACTGAAAGCTGCTTTGAGGTTACTCTCTCGCCATTTTCCTCTCACAGTACAATTGCACAAGGTCCATTTATATCAGTCATTCCATGTGATTTACCAACACCGAGCCCTGCCTAGGTGAGCCACCTTTCGTAATTACAACACTCACAATGCACATTCAAAGTTGGGTTGAGGGCTGAATCTCGCGCATGAGACTTTTAAGATACTCCAAAAGCTCTAGAGATGTTTGTTCTGCGCCTGCACCCAGGGACCCAGGTGTAAACCCAGGACACGCCTGCCAATACGCGGTGCCCACACTGGCCGCGTGTGGATCAGTCAGCTTCAGCTTGACATATAGGTGGGGCTCTGTTTCCTGTTGTCAGTGTTTCTAAAGAATTGTTTACTGTCTTCTCAAAGGCAGACAGAAAAAAACATCCCTTTCCCTTTACAGTTTTTAACAGAAACTAAATGTTAACTTGATATTAAAAAGTCTTATACTTGGAAACAATTAGCCTACTTCTACGGTTTCTGTAGCACTGACCAACTTTGTACTACTGCATTGCCTCGTTTAATTTTTATATTCATTTTATTTAATTTTATCAGCAAAACCAGACTGTTCAGTACATTATTACTTCAATTATCCTCAAAATCCAAAACGCAGTGTACAAAAAATATTGACTATTAAAAAAAGCTTTCTGTGAATGTATGTAGCTGAGTGTATGTTCCTGAATGTACATGTACCTGAGTGTATATACCTGAATGTATATGTACCTGAGTGTATGCACCTAAATCTATGTACCTTTCTCCTCGGTGCGCTGAATTTGTGCAGATGCAGAGCTTCGCTTGCGAACAGAAAGTCTTCTTCATCTGCTTGGCGCAGTTATACGCGCTTCTGAATGTCGCTCCATGACGGACTGTGTGCCATTCGCAGTTCCAGGTAAATCATTCCCGCAAAATGACCGCTTAAACATCGGAAAGTTAAGAGACAAGCCAAGCTTCCATCTTTAACCGAAAGACCTACTGCCATTTACATCCTTTTGCTTTATGGAACAGAGAGGAAAGAAAAACCGAGGACGATGTTAATCACTTACCCGTCGGTGTCTGGACAGGTGAAGACACGACAAGTCACTCAGGAAACTCTCGTCTTACCTTCGGTGTCGCTTTAGCGCCATCTAGGAGCAGGGGCAAAACTGGCACCCAAAGGGACCAGATTTCCCACGTCCGATTAGGCTTAATAACAATGTATTTATGAGTAAAGTGTACATAAATATTTTGCTACGCCTGCCTTTGTTCATTCTTAGAATAAACGGACACGGGCACAGTTTCAAAACAATGCATTAGAAATATCGAATGACTTACATGACACCATTTTGATTTTATTAGCGGAAGGTTTTACCAACAGTGACATACAATTGAGAAAGCAGGGTCAGCCAGTGCTTGGAGTAACTGCGGGTTAGGGATCTTGGTCAGGAGCCCAGCGGCCAGATTACATTAATTGCCAGCCTTATGATTTGAACTGGTGACCTTCTAATCACATAAACGTGTCCAGACGCGCAGAGCCAAACACCACCAGCAAATTTTAGCGCTTGAAGTTCAAAGACCGTCGAGAATAATCAGTCTGTTTATTCAGAGTATTTAGGGTATAAACGGTGTTAAACTATATAGTCACAGACATACTTCGCGCTGGGTGAGAGCGATCCTACTGCACATTTGACGCATCCGTTAAATTCCTTAATATAACCCGCTGTTGACAAAAACGGACGCCGTTAATGTGAAGTCCGGACCCGACGGCACGTCCAAGGGGAAAGTGAGTTTTTTCTTTTTTCATGAAATTTGTATGTATTTTAGGGAATAGGTGAGGGGGTACGGTATTTAGTACCCTATGCCTTTCACTGCTTCAGTTTACTAATAAGCACTAAGACTCGCTTCGGGCGCTTTCTCCGCTGCTCGCTGAGATGCTTCCCAAACCTCTATGGAACTTTGATACAAGCAAGATGCGATAACCGATTATCCCCTAATGGAAACAATCGGGCCAATAACTTGCCAGCCATCCACCACTTTACACAAGTTGTGTTATGATCATATCGCTGAAGTTTGCTTGATCCCTTTCGCGTTTTGCGGCTCATACCGTCGCCCCCTCGGAAGCATGCCGGAGCAGCGATGGGTGGCGCCCATGGCCAGGCGGCTAGACAACAGGCACATCGGCAGCTAAGTGTGGTACCGCTAAGCGGAGACTCGGCACGCTGCTGTCTGCGATCGAATCTCTATGGTGACAAATCCCCGGGCCTGATCTGGGGTGAGGCACGCTGCCACCTCCTTTGATGAGCTGGCCACAATCTGACAGACTCCTGGGTGTATTCATCGGCCGATCCGTACCGTGCCAGAGCACGTTTGACCCCGCAAAGTCCAAACACTGTTTAATTTGTGCCGGATCCTGCGCAACATGTTCCTATCAGCGATTCGGCAACTATTTGGTCGGATCCGGCAGCGATCTGGTTAAAAAAATGAACAACATATGTATGTATTGTAATTTACAGACCAGTTTCCATGCCGTCTCATGTCCTTTATTAGTTTGGATTTTTTCTTAAAAATGCGTAGCATGTTTCAGCACCGTATTATATATGCGTTCCGGGACCTGCGCCCACCTACTTACCTGCTGACCAACTTATATTAACACATTAAGAATTTGATGCCTGTGACACACTCAGACTACACTTTAAAGGCAACTATACTTAACTACACTTTTTAATCGTTTGAGAAATCAGGATTCTATTTGTCACATTTTACAAGTGGATTTTTAGCTATTGTTGCTTGATACCGGACTTAAGCTGCTCAACAGGCTGTGGTGGCCATTTCTGATTCTGCTCTTCTTGATGCACTGTGCATTTTCAGTAGGAAATGGACTGCTGACAAGCTCACACACTCTCTGGCTATGAAGCCACACTGTTGTAATCCGTGCAGAATCACCTTGCATCCGCCTGGCATCACCTTGCTGAAATAAACATGGACTTACCAGGAAAAGACATAGTCTGGTACCTTCAGGCCCATGCAGCGTGCCCATGCCATGGGCACTGGTGCACCCTCATACCATCACAGATGCTGGCTTTTGCACCTTTCGCTGATAACACTCTGACTGGCCTTTATTGTCTTTGGCACGGAGAACTCGATGTCTGTTTTTCCGAAAAACAAGCTGAAATGCAGATTCATCTGATCACAGCACATGTTTCCACTGTGTTTTGATCCATCTGACATGAGCTTGGACGCAGAGAATGCAGAAGTATTTCTGCATAGAGTTATGTATGGCTTCCTGCTTGTGTAGCAGAGTGGCAACTTGCCTTTCTGGATGCAGCAGTGGACTGTGTTGAGTGACGCCGGTTTTCTGAAGTACTCCTGAGCCCCTGTGGCTACATTTATCACAGCAGTATGACAGTTTCTCAGGCAGTACTGCCCAAGGGCTTGGAGATCACACGCATTCAGCAGCGGTTCCCAGATTTCTCAGGGTCCCTGAATCTTTTCACAACATGATGTGTAGATGGTAAAAGATCTAAATTATTTACAATCTTGCTTCTAAATAAATGGTATTTTGAATTGATTAACGATTCTCTCATGAAGCTCGCCACGCAGGGCTGAGCGGACCCAGCCTTGCTGACTGAGATCAGGCCTTTGGTGGATGGTCCTTTTATACCCAGGCATGATACCCTCACCTGTTACCACTTATCCTGCTTATTGTGGAACATTTCAAAATGTTCTATGAACTTTTCAACCTATTTTGCTCCTGTCCCAACTTTTTTTGAGTGTTGCGGCATCAAATTAAAAAAATTGTCTGTATTTATAAAATACACTGGAATTGGCCAGCCAAAACATTAAAAGCAAATTCTTTTTACTTTCATCAGTTAAAAGTTCAAAAGAATTTACAAATTTATTTTTTTTTATTGCATTTTAGAAAATATCCCAACCTTTCCTGAAACCTGGTATGTATTATATGCATAAAAGTATATTAGTATATTGCAAATACTAACACTATACTGTAATATTGAATACAGCAGTCTGTGCTTAATTGACATGTCATTTGATTTGATGTGATGGTTTGTGAAATGGAAATGGACTACGGCATGAAGGAAAGACAGTCCACTGTCACTCTGGTCAGGAGAGGCACACGCTGCTGTGTAACACACGGCAAGAGGCGGCCCAGTCTGTCATCACTCTGGTCAGGAGACGCCCTTCCACACGCAGCACATGCTGCTGTGTAACATATGATATGAGACGGCCCAGTCTGCCCTCACTCGCATCAGGAGAAACCCTCCCACATGCAGTTTAATACAAGCAGGAACCATATTGCTATATTTCACATGGTATGGCACAGTTAGTGGCTATGCAGTTATGCTTATCCAAAGCAATATGACTTTTTCCTAGTAATTTTACTGGTAACATTCTCCTGAGAAATCAGGCAAATTCAGTGTAGTGCCGTCTACCCCATTATACTGTTTATCATAAGCCAGGCAAGCTCATAAAATGGTGAAGAAACAGAAAGTTCAGGTAACATGGGCACAAGGGAACAACCAGGATGGGGAACCAACCCATCACAGGGAAATTTTTTATTATTCTTACTTGGGGAAATGTAACGGTTCAGTCTATTTTTTTAAAGAAAGCATCTCAGACAGGATTCATTTGCATAAGAGGAATGCTGTTCACTTAATATTTATTTTATTAAGCCAAGAACAAGTTTGTCCAAAAAAACTAAACTGAAATCAATAACACAGAAATTATATAAATTTCTCAATGACATTGTTTCTTAGGATCAGGTATTTCTGCTGCATTTTTATATAGTGAAGGTGGCGTTTCGCCTTCTTTGCGTTAACAATTTCAGAAACAGACGGTTTGTGGTAAAATCCCGTTATAGGACACCGTGGCCTCTCTTAACTTATGCCAAATTCAGTCCCGTAGTCTTTTACCCCTGCAGATTTCACAATTTGGCACAAAATGACTTACGTTTAATTTGAATTTATTTCATAAACCTATGAAATGCGAAATATTAAAGACAAAATATATAGTATTTATTATTACAACTATTATATCATGGATAGTTGTTATTTTCTAATATATCGTGTATCATTTTTCGCTATGAGATAACAGAAGTATTTCCGGTTCATTATTCTTGCTAGCTTCACAGTACTCAAGCTTTTCGCATGCCTTTGGGCTTTGTTTTGTGTACTTCCCAGGCATTGATCAGATTCATACAATTGTCATTCCTATACATCAACATACTGTGCAACGTAAAGGAACAAAGCACAAGGAAATTGAGGGAGACATTAGTTAGAAATGGAACAAAGGAATAGAATGATAAAAAAAATAAAGAATGACAAAGATACAATATACAGTAAAACACAGTAAATTTATACAGAGAAAGTGGTCGAAAAGTAACAGCGCAGTCCCAGCGCAACGCCGCGCTAAAGGAGGGTGCATACAGTACACATACGATGATAAAAAAAAGTCAGGAAATCCGGTTCCTGGCCACAAAGCAACGTCCATGGTTCACTGATCCTTTGGTAAGTTGTCCTTCTGCTTTCAGTTTAAAACACATAATCGTTTGTTTTGCAGTTCACCTGACTAAAATCGCCAAGTTGCAGCTTGTTTTGCCAGTTTCGGAGGGGAGTGGTTTCCGACGGGGAAGTGACAGCACCCCACGTGAGCGGAAATAAGGCCGTGCGCTCGGGTTAAACATTCCGGAGGAAACGCGGACTCCACTGTCAAACATAACAGCTTTATGTTTCCCCCAGTGACTGGCTTATGAACTGCGTCTCAGCTTGGTCGACTGGGAAACAGGCGCCTTTAATCATGGATCACCGAGAACTTGATCTTACCGAGGCACAGAAGGCGATAAAGTCAAAATACCCACCAATCGAAAAGAAATATGAATGTGAGTGGCATCTGCTCGGTGTGCTTTAACGCCGCTCGGAGCGGGAGGGCGAAGCTCTGCTGGGTTTGCGCTCGTAATTGGAGTTAGGCGCACCCGGTCTTCTCTTTCCTTACTTTTTTTCTGGCGGGCTGAATTTATCTCGGCTAAATCAAAGTAATTTCCTTAATGATTATTCTTTACCATCTTATTTCCAATTATATTTTAGTGCCTTTAAAGTGTTATTTCTCGTTTGTTGTACTTAACGAATAAGGACTGACGTAGGCCTACCTAAATCAAGTGAATTGAAAAAACGTTGTTGTTTTTTTTACCGGAAATTATATAATGGGAATCTATTTATGATTACATGCTACAGTTTAACATTCGTAATGTGTTACGTGACTCTCTTAACCAAGCCTAATAAATCTGAAGTAGAGATAAGGCCACTTAAAATTAATAAATTGTTTTACATGACTCAAACTTCTAAAATATTGTTGAGTAGGGGATTTTATATTTTTAGCGAAAAGACGATCGGCAACAGAGATATACTAAAACTAGAAAATTAAACTTTAATTTGTCAGTATCTCAACATTTTAAACTCTCAACAGTTCAAGCAATTACAAGAAAAGAGAAACCTTCAAAACAAATGCTTAGTCTAAGTGTTTAATGGTCTTGCCACAGAATGGCCCAATAAAAGCGTCCTCCTGACAATAGCAAAACAACAGCACTTCCATTGTTTCAAACAATAGAAGTGCTGTTGTTTGACCTCAATGATGGTCACTATTATTGGACCACCCTACAAGAGACTACTTGCTCACAGTGCACAGGATATCTGGATTTGGCACATTGACGATCTCTGACAGTTTTTGAGGTGAAAAAAACGGATTTTTTGAAAAATATAAAATATAAAAAAAATCGAGGCGGCACCAAAAAAATTGAGGCGGGCGGCCATGTAAAACAATTTATTAATTTTAAGTGGCCTAAACTGGAGTGGGCAGTCTTATAAGTGCAGGTTTTTGGTGTAACCTTTAAGTCAGCTGTTCAGGTCAAACCCAGGTGTGAGGACTCGTCAGCCATTCAGTCCTCTAATTAATAGTATAATTACGGAGCTGCAGCAAAAACCCGCATAACCAATGGCCCCTTCTGGATAAGATTGCCTACCGCTGAGCTAGACGGGGATATGACATCTTCAGCTGTCTTTGCAACAGTGCGTCTAAAGTGTTTATTAATGAACGATTGGACTTAATAGTGGAATTTGTGTATGACCAGGGGCAGTGGGACCAACAGAGCAGTTTTAAAACTCAGCTAATGAACAGAATTTTGTAAAAAAAAAAAAAAAAAAACATTTACTGAGATCAATAAAGAATGTCTTATCTTACTTTCTTGTGTGCTTTGTAGATTTGGACCATACAGCTGATGTACAGTAAGTGTTTGAGTCTTGCACTCATTTGAGAGAGTTTAGTAATTAATAAAGCCATGGGTGGGAGGAATCACATAAGTAAGCTACTAAGGAGACAGCCAAGTCCACAACAAACAATGATGGGAAGAAGAGCACCAATGCCATAAACTAGTTAAAGGACACATCCAGTGCAAACAAGCTGTGTGGCGTATCTGTCCTTAGTGGTGTACAAGCTGTGTGGCGTGTCTGTCCTTAGTGGTGTACAAGCTGTGTGGCGTGTCTGTCCTTAGTGGTGTACAAGCTGTGTGGCGTGTCTGTCCTTAGTGGTGTACAAACTGTGTGGCGTGTCTGTCCTTAGTGGTGTACAAGCTGTGTGCAGTTTTGGTGAAGGAGCTTCAAAGAACAAATGGCTCAGAAATGAGCTCAGTATCATAAGCTGCCATAACCCACCGTTACAGGCTTCCGGGACGTTAGACGACAGGCACTGAAAGCTTTAACTATAATGAGGAGTTTAGCCAGAAGAAACATAGAAGAACCTGGAAGTATGGTCTGGCTGACCGGTGTTGAAAGGTTCCCTGCAGTGGACAAAAAGCTGCCTGTTTTCATTATTCAAGGCTCCATGCATGGGGGAATTCACTGGAGGAGGCGTTTGAGCAGTGCGCCATGGCCATGTTCGGGTACATGACAGATACAGAGACGGTGGAGCCCATTGACACCGTTGAGGTGGAGTCTGAAGGTGAGGCAGAGAAACAGGCACATAAACACACATCATAACAAAACTGCACATCAATTAAACAGGGCCAAGGAACGGCAGTAGTCAAGGTGCTTACAGCATGCTGAGTACTGATGCCTCTTACAATCAGAATACGGGATGCTAGCCTGCCCCAGTCCCCCTCCCCAGTCCCTCTTGGTATTATTTTGCAGTGTGTGGATGTTCCAAGACAAAATGGACAGATGGCAAGTGAAATGCTAAGATTTATGATGATACACAGAAACACATGGACAGCACGGCAGTGTGAGAAATCACAGGCACTGCGCAGTCTGCAGTCCACGTAAATGGCAACCTGTGGGACCTGTGTGTCACCTCGTGTTCACAGGGACTTAAGAGCGTGCAGTGTGTGCAGACAGACAGTCATTCTCTGTCCATCATGCCGCCACACAGGGGATGACATGGAATCTCTGCTGTTTCATTTCCTGGATGACTGGCTGTTTAAATTCAGTGCTGACCCCTTCTTTGTTCCACGGGTAGGCATCACCGTCTGCAAGCTGCTGTTCACTGTACACTCACTGGAAACCTTTCCCATACTGTGCTTAAAATGCCATTATGTGACTGTCATGCAGCAAAGGGATTTAGTATTTGGAGCAGCCCTTATATTGAGGGAGTACAATAGGCCCTGGCACAGCTCTAAACTCAGGCTTGTGCTTAATCCTGTTCTAGCACCGAACACAAGATTCTTGTGATGGAGAAATAAACTACCCCTTGTTTCTGTGATTTCCTCTTTTTTTTGGTCCTAGTACTGGAATATCTTGCTTATGCAACAGGTCCAGGAAGGAAAGTGAAATTCTTTATAAACATGCCCACCATTGTACTCACGCACATACAGTCCCTGGTGATCTAGTGTAGCCATTGCTCCACAGACTGACTCTTACCAAAATGCACAGCATTCACATTCCTCTTATTTCCCTGGTGTAACATACTCAGGAGTCCATGGCAGGTAGAGGTGACCATCCATCTGTGTGTTCTAGGAGGTCAAAGTGCTGAACATCGACCGCATGCGGTTCCGGGTCCGGTCCATCGGGTAGGTGACCCATCACCCTTCCCTGCCTGGAGGGATGATGTGTTAGTCTTGTGGTGTGATTGGACTCCACAAACTCCAATCACAGCAACTTAAAACACGCGACAATTCTGTTTCTACAGGTGGGGAGAGGAGTTCAGTGTGTCCAAGCACCCACAGGTAAGTGCAGGTACCTTTCAGGCTTGAGGGCGGGTACCTTCAGGCTTCAGGGTGGGTGCACCACTTTCGATTTTTTTAAAGTCAGCAGTTGTCATGAAAGTCGAGTGGACACCGACTAGTCGCTGGTGTAGTCATTGATAAAACCACAGGAAATAGAATGCTTTGCAATGTATATTTTGCATGGAATGGAAACAAATAGAAACAGGCTGAAACAATTTATGCAACAAACACACCAGTATGCTACAACTCCAATTTAAGTGCGAAAGAGGGAAGACTGAAATGTCGGTATAACACTTTGGGAGAAAAACAAAACTCAGATCCAGCCTGTAGGCCTGCTCCTTGCGGTCATAAGGCGCTTTCCCACCTAAGTTCAGGAACCTAGTACCTGGTTCTGAGTCCCTGGCCTGTCTGGACTTGTGTGTGTTGCAACAGAAACACGCAAAAAGTAGCATAAACTTCACACATAATTTCATACGAAACTACACCGCCATCTCAAAAAATTGAGGACGGACAAGTCGTATTGTTAGTTATTTGTTGGTTACTGGGGGAGGGGGTCGATCGCAATAAAAACAGGACACAGCCTTTTATTTATATTTTATTTATATGACAAGTTTATAATCCTTTATTAAATCTGGCCATCAGATCGATCTTTCATTTCCAACAGAATAAAACCTGCATTATTCCGCTAATAAGCTCTGGTGAGTTTCACCGCCTGTGATTGAATCTTCTGAGGCAGAAATACAGCGATGCTGGTAAAACATGTTCATTAGTGCATAAAAAGAGGCACAAGAATAATGCTCAGTCTTTGCTTCACTATTTCTAACATTCTTCCACGTACCTCCTCGTAAGTGGTATGTTAGTGTCATATTCACCTGACCAACGACTAGTCAACGTCACCCATCATCGCAGGGCTGTAAAGTCCACTTTTCAGCTAGTCGACTTAACCTCTACTCCTGGGTTTGGTGTTCACACACACCACTAGCTGTTCAGGCAAGGTCCCAACACACAGTTCTGACCGTGAGCGTGCCCTTGAATGTCCCCCCCAAAGGATCAGGTGGGGCTGCTTCAGCCAGCAGACGTAGGTATCGCAACCATGCAGCTCTGAAAATATCGGCTTTCTGTGCTCTGTGTTGCAGGGGACGGAGGTGAAGGCGATCACATACTCAGCCATGCAGATCCGTGATGAGGACAAGCCAGAAATCCTTGTCATCATCGATATATGACTGGGGGGATGCTGGATCCCAGCCAAAGTCGGGCTTCAGTGGAGTGAACTTTGCCATGGATACACAACATTTTTCATTTAAGAATATCACAGTCCAGAATATACTTTGAATATAATCATTTATTTAGATTAATATAGCAAGTATGTTCCTCAGCAGAGTCGATAAGTAAATGAACTGCAGCAGCAGCTGTTTGTGCTCCATCATGGGCAGCCTATACTGAGCCTCAGAACGTTCCGGAACCCATTCTGCATTAATGTGTTAATTCCACATTAGACTAAAACCAAAGTTTACCACTAGATTCTTCTTGTAATATACCTGACTTCGCTTCACTGGCAGAGATTGAATCTTATTATTATACTTATTCATAATAAACACATTGAGAATATGACCTCTAAGCAGAAAGCCTTGCTTGTTTTGCTCCTGGGGCCTGTTTCACAAAGCAGGATTTCTTGCTTTGCTGGATAACTTGTAGGATTTAAGGTAGCCTGGGCCAAATGTAAGTGGATGAAAATAAAGTCTATTTAGCCCAGACTACCTTAAATCTGACAAGTTATCCGGTTAAGCAAGAAATCCTGCTTCGTGAAACAGGCCCCTGGTCTTTGTTGAACCTGAGTTACAGCTACTTTGTGTTTTCATTGACATTTCTGTGTGGGTCACTAGCTTGCAGGTTTTTAAATGTATTAAAATTCCCAAATAGTTGAGAAAGGCAGTGTCTAGCTCAGCCAGGCAGTAAAGGCCCGCACCCTCGGGAGCGCGGGGGCTATCCACGGAAGTCCATCTCCTGCACACACGGCATGCCGGAATGATGGGGGCACCAAGCCGAGGGCAGAAAAGTATGCCATCTGTTTGTAGAACAGTATTTCTATATCTATATTCTACAATGAGATTTTTTTTTTATATCTGTGTCAATGCAAACCCAGTCTGACTAATCCACACTTGTGGGTGTGTCTGCAACAACATATCATATCTTTGGAGGTTCACCTAATCTATCTTATCTTTATTCATGTTTGCACAAAGTAGAGAAGTTTCTGGCTACCTTGGTGGAAGCTCATGGTCCTTTGCAGAACCTGGCCCAGGGCTGGGTTCTTCAGAGTAAAGGTTCATGTCTAGTTTGCTATTTGACACCAATGCCTGGGTACACAGCATGAGCAGCCCCTTGCCCCCGGCCAAATGGAGCAGGGGATGAGCGAGCTCCTGAGTTGAGCCGCAGCACCTGCGGCAGACCTGAGCTTCTGGGTAGCCCATGCTCTCATACCTGCTAGCACCCAGCTGGACTTGTATGCTGGGCGGGAACGGCAGTCGCAAGTAGGTCTGTGTCTGGCTCTTTCAGATTTGTTTGCCCTGGGGGAGTTTCGATCAGCCGCCCTGCACAGTGCGCTGCCAGACTGGTAGCATTAATCTGGTAGTTTAATCTGGTAATTAAACTGAATGAACCACTAATTAAAGAAATAAGGATCTGGGCTGTGCCGCTCCTTTGTGTTCTGACAATTTAAACATGCTACCTAAGAGAGTAAGTGTCTGCTACCCTACTAGCTCTGCTTTTCCTGGAATCATTACAGCTTGTAACACCAGCAACTTTAATAATGTCCGTTCTCATGAAGAATACGGTACTGGATTTAAGAAAGAATTTGTTAATCACTGTCAACAATATTAAATTAACTGATATGTCTGAAATACTTCAGTGTAAACTCATTGATGTCACTGGATGAAATTTGAGTGTCCTCAAATAAAATGTCACATTTTTCTTTTATTGCTTAAACTGCAAAAACAATGGTTTGATTTAAACAACCATTTTAACTTGAAAGTTTAATGCCGCTGCTTTTGCTTTAGCTCTGCTTGCGCTCTCCGAGCCAATCATAATCATTTTTAAAGTTTGAATTATTCCTAGACGACTTTGTCAGAAATTTATTTTGAATTTTTTTTGGTTTATAAATATCACAGTGTTTACCGTAACAAAATCACATCGAGAAATTTAAAATGTTGCCAATATTGTGCAGCCCTAGTACCAAATACTTTTTTAGTTCTTGTCATGCCATCCACATATTGAATCTCTTATTCCGACCAGATCGCAATTAAAACTTTGGTGTCCTCATTTGTCTTCGCATCCATTATTATTTATTTTTAAAAAGCATCGTTGTAATTGTTTCCTGAGTTCGTAACTAAGCTTTAACAAAATGGCTGATGTGTTTTTTGTGTTTGCGACGTAGGTTATTTGCATAACCATTCAACAATAATCACGTTTGTACTTCAGGTACTGGTACCTGCCGGAAATCAATGTTAAATTGAACGTATCAAAACTGGTACCTGGTGTACTGGAAAGCTAGCGAGCATGCTTCAGTGCCATGAAAAAAGTATAACGTCACTTCCGCTTCAGGCTTTTCCCCCTGGCGAATGGTTTTCATTCGCTGAGGAGGAGGAAGCCATTACGAAGACCTGGGCAGCTGACCACCTCCTTTGGCTTGTGAAGTCTGATACAGGAACGACTGTTCGAAGAGTATTCGTCAGAAATTAGGCTATTTTAAGTCTCTTACCTGACATTAACTAAATTGGCAGTTTGTTATAGTAATTCACAAAATGGAGAGCGAAAGCAAATATTTACCAGAGCTTCTAGCAGAGAAGGACAGTCTGGACGCCTCCTTTACTCACGCTACGAACCTTATATCCGCAGGTAAAGGCTGGTTCGCAAGATCCGGCGCGCGGCGAAAGGCGCGCTCCGCTCGACCCGCCGTGCCCTCCACGTCTTAGTTCGGCTTTTGGCTCCTCGGATTACACGATTAGTCACTTGTATGCGTCTAGTTTAGCCCACTTGTTAGCTGCGTTTTCTCTGGCTGTCGGTCGGAGTCCGCGGGCCTGGTGTCGCGCTATCTGTTTGTTCATGTGCCGGCGTTTGGTGGGCGGCTGTGGTCTGCTCTGTGCTCGTCGTGTAGCCGGCTGTTGTTGAAGGATAAAGCTGCCCGTGGATGCTGCTGGATCGACACATCCCGCATATGGTCCTCCGTAATCGTTGGGACTGGACTGACGTGGTCGCACGCGGAAGTGTCATCCCCCAGGTCGCTGTGCTCCGAACCATGGCATTAATGACCTGAAATACTCTGTAGCATCTCGGGTTGGTGTGTTACAGCCTGGCCGAGTCCTGTGAAGAGCAGCACCACCCTCAGACAGCCACACTGCCTCCTGGAGGATGTCTTCAGTGAACTGAGTTGGCTTGATATTGATGCGCTGGGGCTTCTCTGGCTCTGGGTGGTTTCAGCGGTCTAGGATGGTCCGTAATGTAATGTTTGTCCGTCTGTCCCTGTTATGTCATTCCGTGCCCCGCGCTGCCCGTCTGTCCCTGCTCTGTCAGCCCGTGCCCCCCGCTGCCCGTCTGTCCCTGCTCTGTCAGCCCGTGCCCCCCGCTGCCTGTCTGTCCCTGCTCTGTCAGCCCGTGCCCCCCGCTGCCCGTCTGTCCCTGCTCTGTCAGCCCGTGGCCCCCGCTGCCCGTCTGTCCCTGCTCTGTCAGCCCGTGCCCCCCGCTGCCCGTCTGTCCCTGCTCTGTCAGCCCGTGCCCCGCGCTGCCCGTCTGTCCCTGCTCTCTCAGCCCGTGCCCTGCGCTGCCCGTCTGTCCCTGCTCTCTCAGCCCGTGCCCCGCGCTGCCTGTCTGTCCCTGCTCTGTCAGCCCGTGCCCCCGCTGCCCTTCACAAAATGGAGAGCGAAAGCAAATATTTACCAGAGCTTCTAGCAGAGAAGGACAGTCTGGACGCCTCCTTTACTCACGTTACGAACCTTATATCCGCAGGTAAAGGCTGGTTCGCAAGATCCGGCGCGCGGCGAAAGGCGCGCTCCGCTCGACCCGCCGTGCCCTCCACCTCTTAGTTCGGCTTTTGGCTCCTCGGATTACACGATTAGTCACTTCTATGCGTCTTGTTTAGCCCACTTGTTAGCTGCGTTTTCTCTGGCTGTCGGTCGGAGTCCGCGGGCCTGGTCATCCCCCAGGTCGCTGTGCTCCGAACCATGGCATTAATGACCTGAAATACTCTGTAGCATCTCGGGTTGGCTTCACCACATTTACGCAGCTGCTCCTCCTGCAGGAAGAGGAGGAACCTCAAGCGAGTGCCAGTCCATGCCCCGCGCTGCCCGCCTGTCCCTGCTCTCTCAGCCCGTGCCCCCGCTGCCCGTCTGTCCCTGCTCTGTCAGCCCGTGCCCCCTGCTGCCCATCTGTCCCTGCTCTGTCAGCATGTATTCACAGCATTTGCTCAGTCCAGCATCGTTGAGGTTGACTTTTTGGTGCTGTGCTTGACATGCGGACTGCATCCTTCTATAAGATCCAAACCCACTAGTCGTGTCATTCAAAATGGGCGTCCCTCAGTTACTGGCACAATCTTCCTATCCTGAGATGGAAAACCAGCCCTTGGGGCTTCTGATTGTAGGTCACTGGCGCAGTCATTTCACCCGCAGGCTCAAGGGCTGCTGGCGCTGCTCAAGCGCAGCCATCTCCTCTCCCGGGCTGGCTGATGTGTACTCATACTGGCAGCTGTTTCTTGGCGTGTCGTAAGGCAGAATGGAATTACTGAAGACCCATACACACAAACAATGGATTTTTCTCTTTTTTAATCAGAGATAGACAGGATTCAGAAAGGTGAGTCAAAGCAAGGGGACAATGCCTACCTGGACCTGTTTGCCACCAAGAACGTGAAGCTGAAGGAGCGAGTCCTCATTCCAGTCAAGCAGCATCCAAAGGTGAGGGCACGCAGCCCGTGGTAATGGAGCTGGCTGAGCAGCCAGCCTGGGACTCCAGGGGTGATGGGGGCAAAGCCGGTCTGGGGTGGTGTGAGGGGGTGGGCCTGTGATTTTCAGGGGCAACAGGAGCAGCACCTGATGCAGACACTCTACCCTCAGTTTAACTTCGTGGGGAAGATCCTCGGTCCTCAGGGAAATACCATTAAGCGCCTGCAGGAGGAGACGGGGGCCAAGATCTCCATCCTGGGGAAGGGCTCCATGCGGGATAAATCCAAGGTGAGCCTTCCCTCTCCTGGCCAGTTGTCTGTCACCATGGCACTCGCTTGAGGTTGTTCCTCTTCCTGCAGGAGGAGCAGCTGCGTAAATGTGGTGAAGCCAAGTACGCACACCTCTCCATGGAGCTCCATGTGTTCGTCGAGGTGTCTGCGCCTGTACCTGAGGCCTACCTTCGCATGGCCCGTGCCTTGGAGCAGGTCAAGAAGTTCCTCGTACCTGTGAGTAGCTCCGCCCCTATCCCCCAGCATTCTGGAACGGGGCATTTTAGTCCCGTTTGCTTTTTTCTGTCTCTTAAGCAGGACACAAAGGGTGATCCTTGCCAGGAGCAGTTGGTTCAAAGGGGCTTCCTGAATGGGGCTCAGGAGCCTGTGACTAGGGTTCGAGGGACCCCCTTTGTCCGTGGCAGAGGACCCCTTTTGCCGTTAGCCAGGTGAGGCCCCCCGATTGAGCTCCGCCTGAAAGAGAAGGTTGCCATGGTGACTGACCAGCTGTGGTCTGCTCTTCTCCCAGGGGCCGCGGTTTGCCTGCTCGCAGTGTAGCCCAACGCGGGGGCGCATCTAGAGGACCAGCAGCCAGAGGGGCGGTGGCTGCAAGAAGTCGGCCTCTGGGGCCGACCCAGCGGATGCTGCCCCTTCCCGTGCACACGGGCCCCCCAGAGCTGGAGGCTTACGAGGGCTATGTGAGTTTGCCGTGGCCTAGCTGATATCCATCACCGGCAACACCGCAGACTGTTGGGGCCTGAGCAACGGCGCCACATGCTGCCTGGGTGTGGTCGGGCTTTTTGGCTGCGTTTCGGTTTTCCTCTGCTTGCTCCCTAATTCCATGTTGTGTCCTTGTCTGTGTTTAACTCTCAGCTGCTCCTTGCCTTAATGCCTGTGATGTTGCTTGCAGGCCTATGAGGAGAGCTATGCAGAGCCCACCTATGACAGCTATGACCACTACTACAGCCAGTCGGCTCCGGGGTAAATGTGCTCTGCTACCTTGTTTCTACACTCTGAAGAGTTTGATTGGCTCCATATGGTTATGATGGGTACTGATTGAACCGGGGGGTTATGAGCCCATGGCGTTTCAGGTTGCCTGACAGGCCTGGTCTCTGTCTGTTGCCAGGGAAACAGAGTACTTTGATTATGGTCACGGAGAGACACAGGAGCCATATCAGACTTACGGTAAGATGGCCCCGTGCCCGTGACTGGCCCCGTGCCCGTGAGCTTTCCTCAGTTGTAACTCTGGCAATGTCTGTGCCCCCCAAAACCCCCAGATCTGTCTGCAGCCCAGGACGACTGGAACGGGACGTGGGCGGCGGTGCCCCCTGGCACAACAGGCCCAGCACGTCCTGCCAAGGGCTCCTACAGGGATCATCCGTATGGCCGATACTGACACACCACGTCGCCCTGGCAACCGCACCCCACCACAGCTCTTGCTTTTATCAGCCGCTTCAAAGTAATTGTCCATGCCCCCCCCCCCCCATGCTGGAGACTTTTAATTTAATTTAATTAATTATGTGTCAATCCTTCTAATTTGTAGTTAGCCAGCATTTAAAAATGTACTCCATTCGTTGCTATTTATTCAGTCTGAGTAAAAAAGTAATTAGTGGTTGGTTAAACATTTAATCTTTGAAAAACAAAAATCTTCACTGTGTAGTTCAGCATACTGTTAAATAAAATGTTGCTTTACAAAAATTATTTACTAAAAGTTACAGATTCCCACTTATGCTGCATCTTAAAATTTCAAAAGTAAATGTTAATTTCGTATATAATAGACAAATCAAACTGACTGGGAAAGAACTATGTGGGGGGAATTTAGTCTTAAACACTTCTACTGCTGGTATAAAAAAGTCTCTTCGTAAGTTTTGCTTTATGTTGAAGTTTTTAAGTTTAGCCCTGTAGAGGCTGGAGACGTGGTGCCCCGAAAGGGGCCTGGAAGCCGCCTCTCTCTGCTCGGACTCTGTTTGGCCCAGGCGGCTCATGCCGTCTTACAGCTCTGCAGAGGTTTGCGACTGTCCCTCTCGATAATGACGTTTCTGCAGCTTGGTGCCAGGCTCTGTACAAACACCCCATGTACTCTCTCCACAAAGCAGAGCCCTGCCTCTGTAAACCTGTCTAAATAAGGCACTAAACCTGTCCCAAAATGTTTTGCAGCCGCTTGTCAATAAAGCCTAGTTTTTTTTCTATCAAACTAAACTTGGTACGTTTCTGTCTGTTACCATAAAATAACCAAAAAATGGCTTTTTCAAATTTAAATAATTTACCTTCAGCAGCTTCTCAAGAAGGTCAAACAGCCAATATCGAGTTTAAACATTTATATGTAGTTTAAAGACTTAGTATATAAAGGAAGACAAACCAACTCCAAAATGAGTAGTGAGACTTTTGCATAAGATCATCCTCAGCACATTTAAACATACGTTTCCCATCCTCTCTAAAGAAATCATCTGGGGGTCACAGCCTCTCTGGTAACCCTGTGTGCTTGAGTACGAGCCACGGTGAAGGTGATGGTGTTTTCATTTCATGAGCAGTTCTGTCATTCTGAAACCACGATCCCGAACAGCATTCAGTTCAGCCTCCTACCCTCTACACTGTCATGTTGGCTGGTTTTGGTACAATGAAGAAAGGAGCCTTTTTAAGCCCAAGTCTGTCACTCACTGTATCATTAATACTGACTGTATGTGATCAGTGACTTCAAAAATACTGAAGTAAAAGTGAATTACTGTTATCTGTCTCCAAAATAAACAACTGCTAATATTTTTACATATTTACCTCAGAACATGATGGAAAGCCATATTGAGGGATAAAAAAAACTGCTTTACCTCATTGATTTTGAGAGTTACATGTTGCCTTCACGTTTGGGGGATGTTAAACGGGCCTGGAGTTGAATCTCCTTCCTGCCTCCGCTGGTGTTGGTTTAGAGTTGCTTTTACCTCGTCTGTTTCTTGCAGGAGTTCTGTAAGGTGAGAGAGTCCCACTGGACCACAGCTGTTCCCGAGGAGAGATCTGCGCTCTCCCTCTCTGGTAGGTTGGTGGCACTGAAGGACAGTGCCCAGAGTTAGAGGTGCCTCTCTAAGGCCACTCGTGTTTTTGGGGGTGGTGGGGGTCAGACTGCCATCCCCCAGGGAGACTGTGGTAGAAGAGAGGGCCCAGGGCCGGCCTCCAGTGGCTCCATGGTGAACTGGCCCACAGATTGTTCTGCATGTCTGCAGTGAGCTGTGCTGTGCAGGCCGATTGGCTCATACCATGTGCTGACCCCTTACTGGCAGGACACAGGCTGGCATGATGTCATGGAACTGAGCGGCTCAGAGGGTGGAAGATGTCCAGACACGTCATGGATAGAGGCATAAAGGAAGCAGTCGCACCCAGCTCTGGTAAGTCTGGGTGACCGGGTTCCAAGTGGCCGCTGTGCAGGACTGGTGCTGCTCACCAGCTCGGCTGAATTCTGACCGTCATGACTAGGGATGGGAATTAATAGGTTTTTATCAAAACTGATGCTATTATCAATTCTACTTATCAGTCCGATTCACCATTGGAAAATAAAAGCTTACATAGGTTTTCAGGGTTAATGTAGCAGTTTTATCTGTCTGAACAGTGTAGATTGTCTGGCTAACATTTTAACATATTAAAATAAATCGCAGAGCTGCTTTGTTAAACAGGATGCAACCTGGAAAATAAATATAAAACGGACTGATAACTTATTTTTCTAAAGAATAATTTTGACTTAAAATACTGTTCTTCATTATCTGAATAATGTTAGCTGTGACCTACCTGCTTCTCTTCCTCTCGACCGATCGCACCTTGACGTTTAAATGCCGACCCAGCCGACTGTGAGGCCTGTGGTTCCAGGGGATGCTTTCAGGTGGAACTGGTTCTCTATTCGCACCCATAGGTGTGACACACTAAGACTGCATAAGAGCTGAAGCACTACTGATTTGGGGGGGGGCTTTCATTTGGGGCCATCTGGCTCAGCCGTGTGACAGGGGTCTCCTGGGTGTTTGTGGGCCATTTTCAGGCTGCTTGTCAGCCGGTATACTCTGTTTTTCGTCATTGAGTATTTTCACTAATGGAAAAATTTGAGGGCCAACCATCGTCATAGACATACAGTCATATACGACAGCACTATTGCAGTCAACGACGGACACGTGCTTTACATGTCAGTGTTTATTTTAGGTTTTATGTGTTATTTGGTGATTTGGTAAGTTATTTTTTGGGTCTAGGAACACTCAAAAAATTTCCCATATAGATTAATGTTAATTATTTATTCACTTTACTTGATTTTGGCTTAGGAAAGGTTTCACGGGAACGCTCCACTTTCGGATAGCCGGGGAGACCAGTATTCCAACATGGTGAATATGGAGGATCCACTTTCAGTGGCACTTTCCCTGTTACTGACCTGTATGCAGATAAATAAACCGTGTAACTGCTGCATGTCTTCAAAGAGCAGCTTGTTTACCCCTCACTGTTGATGCACATACGCTAACAGCTAAATCATAAACGTTTTCGCTTGTTTCAGTGTGGATGTAAGTACTTTCATAAACAATGTTATGGATACAAATTATTTACAATAAAAATTTTAGAATGTAGCCTAAGTAATTCACGCCCCTGTCCAATTGCTGGTGAGTGTGTGTATATTAATTAGCTATTGTCTAGTCTTGTCTCATGTGCATGCCCTTATTGTGTAGCTGGCTTTGGCCATTGCATCGGCAGGCTTTATCGATACATACCATTGCAAAATGTCACAGCAGCCAAGTGTCTTAAGTTTCTTAAAAAAGCCCAATAATTGTGACCTCACAGTTGGTGTCTCTGTTCATCATATCAATCCACGTGCTTATAAATGTCTAATCTATAAGCTTGTTCTGTATATTTTAAAAATTGAATGAACAAAAAAAATGAATTTTTGGTGGCCTTATTAATATATCGATGAGCTCTGCTCTGATTGGCTGGATTACAGTGAGGCACTGCAATTGCTCAGACACAACTAACATCATCTTTGGAGTCAAACAAAATGACTTCGGTCAGCAATGGATCGCATGTATGGCAGTGGTCCCTTAAGATGATAATGGAGCTGAAAAATTCCTGTTGCCTAGTGATGGCATAGCATGACACATTACTCATTTGTGGTGAAGCTGGTCATGTAACAGTATAGCACATACCCTTATGTACAGTACATATTACTTAGTAATGATTACTGTACTGTACTTTATTTTAGACTGTAAAATAAAGTCACACGTAGCTACAATACTACCACATCAGTCTAGGCAAACGTTCATATAGTCATAACCTTGTTTATAGCATTGTAACAACAACACTATTTTGCATCTCAGTGAACAAATGATTTTATGCTGTTTCATCATGCAAGTTTTACAGAGAACTCCACCCAGCAAGCTGAGCAGTTCATAATGTGTTTATAATGAATCTGAACTTGGGGTTTCATATTTTTTGACTTTAGTATCAATTTGTTTAGCTAAACAAAAGCAGGTTCCAGGCATCACAGAAGACTCTGCTCAATGTCAGTATCTCAGATTGGTAATAGTGTTTGTTATCCCCCTGTTCTCCTAGGGCTACGTTGTGGAAGATAATCATCCTCCACTTCATCTATGAACAATTTGGCAGACAAAGATAATACCTGGAAGTTGTCTCAGAAGATAAGGTCTCTCTTTGCGGAGTATAACCATCCCAAAAAAGGTGAACAAAACAAATGGACAGCTTATATACTTTAACACTATAGGCTTATGGACACCGGACAGCTTATATACTGTAAAACTATAGGCCGAGGGACACCGGACAGCTTATATACTTTAAAACTATACTAAGAACTACTCCAATCTCCCCAGTCGCCAAAGACACTGCTGACACATGAATGACTAATACAATCAGCCTGAAACACACCCATTATATTCATATTCCAGAATTGTCGTTTCCTTAAATGAAATACAATCAGCTAATATAAGTATTAAAGCAGCTTCAGCTTGCCCTGTGTAAAGAGGCTTCTCTCTCCTGGCAAAGTCGCAGGTATGAGCAAACACCTTCTGCACCAGCAGCTTCAGCACAGCACAAGGGCTGTATGTGCAGACATTGATCTTCTTGCCTAAGGCCTAAAATGTAAGTGAATGCCTCTAAGCCCCCACCTAGGCTACCGCACCCTTATTTCCCTCAGAAATCGTTCCACAGCGTTTCCCAGAAGCATCGAACCATGAAACTGAACGGTTCCAGCCATATAAGCTGCCACTGGGGGCTTTGGGAAACGCACCCCTGTACCACCTCAGCCTAATGGTGATAAATAACCTCACGTCACAGACATTAGCCTTCAGTAACATTAGAATGTCAGAATGGTTCTTTGGATAAATATACACCGCAGACATAACATTAAGACCCCTGCCTAATATTGTGTAGGTCCCACTCCTGCCACCCAAACATCCCTGACCCATCCAGGCATGGTCTCCACGAGACACTAAGGGTTAATGTATCTGGCAGGAAGAGGTTAGCAGCAGATCCTGTAACTCCTGTAAGTGGTGAGATTGGACTTCTTTGTCCAGAACATCCCACAGATGGACGATTGGACTGAGATCTGGAGAGTTCGAAGGCCTAATTATTAGGGTTTTACCTTTGTGAAGCACTTTGAATTGCCTTGCGTCTGAATTGTACTATATAACTAAACTTGCCTTGTCAAGTCAACACCCTAAACCGGAATACCGTTGCCATGAAGGGGTGTACTTGGTCTGCCACAATGTTTAGGTAGGCGGTACGTGTCAAAGTGACATCCACATGAAGGTCAGGACCCAAGGTTTCCCAGCAGACCATTGCCCAGAGCATCACACTACTTCCACTGGCTTGCCATAGTGTGTCCTGGTGCCATCTCTTCCATCTTCTTCCATCTCTTCCCAGCTTGTTCCCTGGGACTCGGTACGCCAGGGTGACCTCCACCTGAGGCGGGGCCCAGGGGACCAGCTCGGGCCTCGCAGTGTCCGAGTGTGGCGTCCGCCCGATGGGGATATGGAACAACCCTATGACAGCAATCATGATGTTCTTTTGATCTTTTGCTGTCTAGCTGTGTATCTGCAGGTGTCTGTGTGAAGAGCCGGACTGGTCAGTGAAGCTCAGCTCTGATTTTATCCAAACCTATGTACAAATGGGCATCAGAGAGCAGAATCTGCCCGGCCCATTGGAGCAACTAGGGATAACGATCTTCCTCATGGGCTTGGTGATGATATAATTATTTTGCAATCCATGGTATTTTGCACCGACACACCAAAATTAAATGTAGTATTGTGTGATGACCTTTTCTGTTTTTTTTTGGGCAGTGGATTAATCCGGTGTCTAGTTACCCTCTCAAACTCACTGCAACCGCCCCCGTCCACCAGTACAACTTATTGTTGTTTTTTTTTAGTTATTTGCTATGTAGTTATTCCTTAGGTGAATTTCATAGACGTTGGTGATTTAACTTCTGTCTTGCTACCTGACGATGCCGAGGTCCCTTTAAAAGCGCGCGCTCCCGACGGGCGTTCCCGTCTCTACACCGCAGCATATTTTGTCTCCGCGTGCGCTGTGGGAGGCGCGCTCTTCACCTGGAATAGCCCATCGCCTAAATAGCCGCTTCTGGAAGCGTGGCGCCGCCGGAGGGATCCCTGTGGTAGGCTGCCCTCCGTGCGACACCGCGCTGTCGGCTTCTTTTTGCGTTATTGTCCGAGAGACGCTTCGCATCGGACGTCAGGCGGCTGTGTCGCCGCTTTATCGTTACAATAAAACTGCTCCTGTCGGTCGGAGGCTGTCCGGACCCTGGCGTCGTTGCACGACGGGTGTTTGTTAGCGTCTCTGAGTAGGGCCAGTTAGCTTCCCGGGGTAATGTTAGCTAGCTTCCTGAGGTAGTGCTAGCTAGCTTCCCAGGGTAGTGGTAGTGCTAGCTAGCTTCCTTGTTATTGCTAACTAGCTTTCCAGAGTAGTGGTAGTGCTAGCTAGCTTCCCAAGGTAATCTTAACTAGCTTCCCTGGGTAGTGGTAGTGCTAGCTAGCTTCACTGGGTAATGCAGTCTAGCTTCCCACTGTAGTGCCAGTTAGCCAGTCCCTGTGTAGTTCAGCTCTGAGATCTCCGACAGGGCGGGAAGGGCTCGGTACTGAGCGGCGCTGACCCGCGGATCTCGGGCCGAACCGAGCCAATGACATGGCGCTCTGACGGGGCCTGATCTCTGTCGCCCGGCCAGGTGGTGGAGCAGCTAACCTGCACTTGCAGCTTGACGGACGCGCCGGCACCTGGCATGGCGGGCGGACGCAGAGGGGGCAACCGCACCTCGTACTGCCGCTCGCCTCTGGGAGGCGAGTCCGGCTCCGTGGGCAACGGCGGCCACTCCAGCAGCTCGCCAATGACGGGTGTGCGGTCGCGGACCAGGTGAGAGGGGATGCCGGCCGCTTCGCAGCCTTTATGTCAGTCTCCGGTGGTGCCTGTCGGGCCCCCCAGCCTGCCCAGATGCCTGCCCGTGACATCCTCGCTGACCACCACAGTGGACGGTGTCAGGTGGCTTTGATTTACGCGGTATCAGGTATCGAGCTCCTTTTGGACATGCGGGTTTTGTGCTTAGGAGCAGCTCTGGCACTGGCATGAGCAGTCCCCCATTGGCGGCCCAGACCGTGGTGCCTCTCAAGCACTATAAGATTCCAGATCTATCAATGGAGCGCCACCTGCTGTTTGAACTGCACCTGCTCCTGTGCCACCTGATCGCCCTCTTCGTCCACTACATCAATATCTACCGGACGGTGTGGTGGTATCCGCCCTCACACCCACCCTCACACACCTCTCTGGTGAGTACTGTGCTGCCGGGCCGCAGAGAGTGTGTGTGTGTGTGTGTGTGTGTGTGTGGGGGGGCCAATCTGGACTGTGTGACCAACAATTGCCTGCTGCTCTTCAGAACTTCCATCTCATCGATTACAACATGCTGGTCTTCACTGTCATCGTGCTGGCGCGTCGCCTCATTGCTGCTGTGGTGAAAGAGGTCAGTGTTTGAGGAGGCTCTGTGGCCGATGAGTTCTGTGACACGTAAGGAAAGTGTGACCTTAACCTCCCCTCCCCCACCAGGCCTCTCAGAGCGGCAAGTTATCCTTCCCCCACTCCGTGGTGCTGGTGATGGGCCGCTTCGCCGTTCTCACGCTCACGGGCTGGAGTCTCTGCCGCTGCTTCATCCATCTTTTCAGGACGTATTCCGCCCTAAGCTTGCTCTTCCTCTGCTACCCGTAAGTGGGGCTCTTCCGGGGCGATTCCTGTTTAACACCAGCAGCTGGGCAATGTCAGCTTTAGCTGTAGAGGTGAGGGATGGGCCACAGTTTCAGAATGGCTGCAGCTCCTATGTGCAAATGGCTGGTCTTGCACTGAACTCTGAAGTGTAAGTGCAGCACTGTAATGTGTGAGTGTGCGAAGGAGCCCTTGGGGTTTGGCTGCTGTGGGCTGCGGGCCCTGGCTGACTCTGCGCCCGATGCCCCTCTTCTCGGCAGCTTTGGCATGTACATCCCCTTCTTCCGGCTGAGCTGCGACATGCGCCGAGGCGGCGGCTCGCTGTCATCGGGCACCAGCGTTGGGGGGCGAGACTACCTGAGCATCCTGAAAGACACCTGGAAGCAGCACACGAGCCAGCTGTACGGGGTGCAGGCCACGCCCACGCACGCCTGCTGCCTGTCCCCAGACCTGGTCCGGAAGGAGGTCGAGTACCTTAAGATGGACTTCAACTGGAGGATGAAGGACGTGCTGCTCAGCTCCATGCTGAGCGCCTACTATGTGGCCTTTGTGCCCGTCTGGTTTCTTAAGGTATGTAGCCCCCCCAAACCGGTCCTGTTCCTCGAGGTGCATGGGCAGGGCTCACTGAGAGGGGTGGCTGTGTGACCCGTCCTCTATCCTGCCCCACAGAGCACGCAGTATGTGGACAAGCGCTGGTCCTGTGAGCTGTTCCTTCTGGTGGCCATCAGCACATCCGTCATCCTCATGCGACACCTGCTGCCCCCCCGCTACTGCGACCTACTGCACAAGGCGGCTGCCCACCTGGGCTGCTGGCAGAGAGTGGACCCCGCACTCTGCTCCAACGTCCTGCAGCACGTGTAGGTAGTGCAGCCTGCTTGCACACCGTTATACTGCAGTCAGCCTTGTATTCTGATGGTCAGGATGGTCCCCCCCCCCCCTGCTGTCTTCTCCTGCTGAGCCTCCTGTGGTCTCCTTTGTGTGCTCCTACCCACATGCTCCCTTTTGTCATTCCTAAGAGTCCCTCCCTACCTCTCTGTCCCCCCCCCTGCAGGTGGACAGAGGAATACATGTGGCCACAGGGTGTGCTGGTGAAACACAACAAGAACGTGTACAAGGCCATGGGCCACTACAATGTGGCTGTGCCTTCAGACGTCTCACACTACCGCTTCTATGTGAGTGCTGCCAGGGCGGGGGAGGGAGGGGGCTCGCCTGATCAGGTGCGGGGGAGGGGGGCTCCCCTGATCGGGGGGGGGGGGGGGGGGGGGGCTGACGCCTGTTTGCCTCCTAAACCATGCACACTTCTGTCCAGCAGTGTAACCTGTAACATGCTTGGCTGTAGCTTCTCCTACCTGAGTTTTTTTTTTTAGGCTGAAGGCAGTTAAGTCTCTCGCTTATTCTTTTCCTTCTGCAGTTTTTCTTCAACAAGCCTCTGAGGATTTTGAACATCCTCATCATCCTGGAGGGGGCCATGATCTTCTACCAGCTGTACTCCCTGATCTGCTCAGAGAAATGGCACCAGACCATATCACTGGCACTGATTCTCTTTAGTAACTACTATGCGTTCTTCAAGCTGCTGAGGGACAGAATCGTCCTTGGCAAAGCTTACTCCTACTCACACAGCTCTGCGGATCCCAAGGCCACTTAAGCTGCTCCACTCTGCCTTGGCCAGCCAGTTGGCATAGGAGCTTTGTCGTCATTTTTTTTTACACTTGCATTTTTGTGTTTTTGTTTTGGATCTTATAAAGAATCATATTTTTGTATTCTTTAATGTTGTCCTCCTTTTCTCCTTGTCACTAATTCTGGTGGTTTGACCTCAGCTTAGTCAGTCTGACTCACTGAACAAGAGGGGATATTGAGCAAATGTTTCATGTTGCAGTACTTAACACAACACCCCAGTCGTGTATGAAATGTAAGTACCATTCTTATTAACCTAAATATTTTTGCCAAAGCCCCCTAATGTGACGGTCGTGCATTTACTCGGAAAACACGTAAGCATTTGAATACGTATTACCGGTAGTGGGTAATGGATGCAAAGGTTATGAGATACAGGGTAGAAATTTCTGTTTAAATTACTAAACAAGAGTCAGAAGGGTGAGTATTCTAACTTCCTGGTTATAAGGCTTAAAGTAAGTGCAAAAGCAACGAAATGTAAATATATGGAAGGTGTTGTAGTGCGCGTTTTGATCCTTTGCCATTTAAAAGAGCATTTGGCGACTCGGGAGAAACACCTTGAATGGCGACGACATGAAGTTTGATCTCTTTCGGCTGCCGTTGTTTTGCGTTGTATCGCTTTCGGGGTTGACGTCTTCCTGAAGGGAGAAGGTCGTCACGGGGTAGTGCGCGCGGCGTTACAAAACACAAGTTTGCAATATACAGCGGTGCGGATGTATTTGTAGCCCACATTTAGATATAAAGCGGTATAATCGCGGTTTGGTTTAGGTCGGGACAAGCTCGGAAGCGGTGCTCTGATTTAAAAGGCTATAAATGGCGGTTATGTTAGGTTTATGATGCGCTCTGGCTCACAAAGGCAGACACCAGACATCCCGGTTTGAGGCTGAGATCCAAGAAATAACAAATATAACAATATGTCCCCGTTTTAACACACTGCCCATGTAAAAAATGTTTTGCTGTCCGACAACATAGCTCAGTCTCCACTCTCCACACCTCCAATTGAAGTCGGAAGATTATATACACTTTGGTTGGAGTCATTAAAATAAATTTTTAACCACTCCATAGATTTCATGTTAGCAAGTTATAGTTTAGGCAAATCGGTTAGGACATCTACTTTGTGTATGACGCAGGTCTTTTCCCCAACAATTGTTTATGAACAGATTATTTCCCTGTTAATTGATTACATCACAATTCCAGTGGTTCAGAAACTTGCATACACTTTGTAAGTATTTGGTAGCATTGCCTTTAAACAATATAACTTGAGATAAACAACAACAACAAATTTATTTTTGTATAGCGCATTATCACAACATTACATTGTCCCAAAGCGCTTTACAGCATCCCCACCCAAAGCCCCCAGTGAGTAAGCCATAGGCGACAGTGGCAAGGAAAAACTCCCTAGAAGGAAGAAACCTTGGGAGGGACCAGACTCAAAGGGGGAGCCCATCCTCCAGGGGCCGGCAGGGAGAGTCAAATACAGTTAAATCTGAAACACAAACGGGGAGCAGGGGGGAGATAACAAGCCGGTGCCACCACTCCCTCTAATCGCCAGGCAGCCAGAAGGCAGGGAGCGGGTCATACAAGTAATATGACACAGGCAGAACGGCGAGCTGGATGCACGGTCGTCATTGGTAGTGGCGACGTCACATGTGGCAGGGTGTGCTGGACATCTTGATAGATTGAGGGCTCCAGGCAGCATACATTTTGGGCAGCCTTCTGTACTTACAATAAAGTGCTGGGATTTTGGCCCATTACTCTTGACAGGTAGTGTAACTGCATCAGGTTTGCAGGCCCCTTTATTTCAATAAAACAGGCAGTGTGGACATGTTGGGTAATGCTGCGGATCAGAACAGGTAAGGAGAGATCTGGACTTTGAGTGCCCCCATGTGGCTGCCCTGACACAGTGACTGACAGAATCACAGTCCATTGTGGTGCTGGTAGCATTTTTTTGTTTATTCAGTATGGTGGATTTGTACATTTTCAGTACAAATTCAGTATGATGGTCTTCTACATTTGAATCGATAATGCGTACTATTTAAAAACTTATTTTTGTAATTATGTTGATTAAATGGGAAAAACAACACCCTCTGCTAATTAATGTTTGAGTTTTAAATAATGTTATAACATTAAGGAAAAGGAAATGTTTTCTTTCTGTATAAGTAATGCTACTGTGCATAATGTCTGTTTAACTTAAATTTCTGTTAGACTATGCTAAATCTTAAAGGGTTAGTTAAGATAAACAAGCTCTGCTCTGATATCAGTCTTGTTCATTGCAATTACTCTGTGTTATTGACACAGTACCTTTAGTGCTACCAGGATTACTGGCTTACTGTTGCTCGGTTCCGATTAGTGTTCATGTGCATTTATTTTTTATACCACTTATAATGTATCAAGTCATGCACTGGTAGCTGAATGGTAAGCTGAAATACAGCCTTGCAGTGCACCTTAAGCGTCCGGTAGGCTGACATGCAGCCCTGCAGTGTACCTTAAGTGTCCGGTAGGCTGACATACAGCCCTGCAATGTACCTTACGTGTCCGGTAGGCTGACATACAGCCTTGTAGTATGCATTTACATGTAACACAAAAGAAGCTCATAAATGAAATACATCTTTATAAATACGCTTGCAAAAAAAACTAATTCTTAGCGGAATATCTTAGTTTAATGTAAGTGAATGTAGGTTGAATTTTTCCAAGAACAATTTTCTGAAAATCGCTAATTCCGTGCGTAGAGACAGAGCAGTATCTCTGTAGTATTTATAGAAAAAGAACCGAGCAGGGATGAGTTTCACAAAACCGTCGAATAATTAAGAACGTATTTATTCAGAGAAAGAGAGAGCATTCAAAGAATTAGGTGATCAGTGGTCATTGTTAACACACCACAGCACAGAGTGCGCAACAACTAAATGTGTCCTATGCATTTAACCCATATGTGACTTTCGTGACATAGCAGGGGGCAGCTAATTCAGCGCCCGGGGAGCAACGCCATACCCTGAACCGGCATTGTTACAAACAAATGCAAAGTCGCAGGTGTGAAACATATGTGCAATGATCGACTGATGACGTAAACGAGTGGTGTCCCGATTCCTAGGTAAAGATTTCAAGCCCTACCCCTTGTGGCTACGAACTGTGAAGTCAACTTCGGAAGGGAGAGCCCTCGAAATCTAGTGGTAGGGCTAAGGGAGGAGAAATGGGATTGGGCCATAGTGGAGGGAGCAGCTACCAGAATCGCTGCTCTGTCTCTTTAAAAACAGCGGCCACTGTCCGGCCCACCGGCCATCAGTGAGCGCCGAGGCGGAGCGGGGCGACACTACCCTATGGACACTACGGGGTCCGAAAGCGGCGCTGGGACAACACACGGCGCTAAAAGACGTAACCGCAAGGGTAAGGACACGGGCACGGGCACCGACACGGACACCGGAGCGCGCACCGCCGCGGCCGCGCGTCCCCCTTCTCGGTAGCGATCGCGAAGCTTTTTGTGCTGCAGAAAAACAAACAGTTTATTGTTAACGCTGCTAACCAGCACGGGCAGCACCGTGTGGTGAGTCGCAGGATCTTACCGACACACGTTTGATTTTTCAGGTATGATATATGTATAATTTTAATGTAATAATAATAACCGCTTAATAAAACACAGCAGACATGTTTATCGATCGATATGTACCATTCAGAGACTGGGGGCGGGTGCTCGACGGGGGAGGTTCACGGTAAATGTTGTCGACTGGAGTTGGGACATGGGGGACTGTGGTTCGGTAAAATTCGAAAAGGGACACTCGGAACTCAGAACAGGGGCACGTCTGTATAAAAG